CAGATTCTTTATGTATTATTCATACCCCTTTAATGTGTGTATATATTTTTAATGAGTTCTTTTGCATTTCCTATAATGTGTTATTGTTGGATATTTTGTGAAAATATGTGAACAAGATTAATAAGAAAATATTTTAGAGCTACGTATTTAACTTTTAGTAAAACTTGTAGTATATATGCATGCATCATAGTAAATAATATTCGTCGGTATCTAATTATTCATGTATTTGCCGGTTTATTTATCTTTATACATTGTACAATATATGCATATCTAGAAAGTGCATTAATATTTTCAATAATTATACCGTTAGTTAATAGCTACCAGAAAATAATTATGCATATCTAATTTTGCACACAATCTTTTAAATATTTCCTTCCATATTATTTGTCTTTTTAGACTGTTTTTTTCGTCTTAAATTATTTATCATTTCAGAATTCCTATGAAGTATTAACTGCATTTTATCAATTTTATTCCTTGTCACTTAATTAATTTGTTGAAAACAATGGATGATAAGTGTATTTTAGTATTTATTATATTTTTTTAGTATAATCTATACATATTATTTGAATTTCTTACAAATATTTAATGGAGCAAATAGTAAATTTTTAGACATTAACTACTAAATAATTGAATAAAAAAGAGATCACTACAAATAGATAACATTAAATGTTACTTTTACCTTGAAAAATGTTGAAATTAAATATCATTCTGGAACAGAGGATCTTGTTTAATGTTTTATTTAATTAATTTTTTTCTTCTAATATTTCTTTATTTCAACCAGAAAATTATTCGATCTAGTTACATTATAGAATTAGACTAGAGAGTGTGTACAACTTTTATATTTTCCAAAGAGAGAAAAAACATGCATGAGATGCTTTTACAAAAGTGATTTAATTAATTAGTAAGTTTCAAATTTATTCTTCAAATAGGGAGACCAGAATTTGGTAGCAATATATTCTTGTCTGAAATTCAATTTTTTTTTTTTTGGATTTTGCCTAATCATAGAAATGAAAGCTTTTATTCATGTTAGCATCTTTTTTATGATAAAAAATATAAAGATAAAAAAAATCTATTCACCATCTAGCAAATTATATTACAACTTTGGTTCGACAAAATTATATTATAGTTAAACAGTTTATAAATTAAAGCAGTCGAAACTAGCAAAATTATAATAATTTAGCGAAATATTAAATTATCGAATTAATATTTAGTACGCTTTTATCAAATCGAGACCAGAATAAATTGTTATTTAAGGAAGATTATTAACTTAAAAAGAGAGTGTAAGGATCAAATCCATTGAACCAAATAATACTAGCAAAAGAAAGTGATTACAATACCTTAGTGTTGTTTGACCAAATTACTAAAAGAAGATCAATCAGTGTGAAAGCTCAAATTCTTTCGGTCAATTTTATTTATTTATGTTTTCTTTATTTTTAGGTGACATTTAATTTGACAATGCAAAAAAAAATATATATATAATTAAAAAAAAAACCCCTATATTTAAGGAATTGGTTCTTTAAATTATGTGCCACACATGATCCTTTGGATTGAATTGCGACTTGTAACAGAGGAATCTATATGAAGATAATTAATAGCAATTTGCTTTTTATTTATCCAAACAATTTGTGTATATTCTCATAGGAAAATTAGAAAAAAAATGAAGATAAAATTAAATTGAGAATATATGTATGTATATATTCACTTGTCATTGTTGTAGGGCATTAGTGAAAAGATTACATGATTGGAATCTGATTTTATTAAAGTGGACTCTTTTAAAATCAAGTTGGCTTGAAAATAAAGACTTTTTAGGCTTTGATAAAGGAATGGTGATGGATAGGTCAAGCAACTATGAAATCTAATCCATCTTTAAACGACAAAATAAACCGCCCGTCACTTGCAAAAAAGAAAGTACGACGACGATCGATGTCTAACGAACTGAGTTCGATTCTTTTTACTGATATTTTTTTCGCTCTTTTTGATTAAACTAAATAACTATTTCTTAGATTTTTTTAGTAAAGGTTTTCTTTTTCCTTCCAAATATTGAATTGCTTTCATGTAGATAGGCAATCAAGTGATGATAGTGTTTATATATAGTTTCACGGGTTGAACAATATTCATGATTGAAAAAAAGGTAAATTACAACAACCCCTGACGTTTACTATAATAATTTTAAGGTCCTTCAAGGTATTGATAATTACAACACCCTCCTCAAACTATAATGTCAACGGGTGGTTGTGATTACGATATTACGAGGACTTTAAAATTGCTGTTATCATACCTCAAGTTGGCCGATTGGTACACGTTATTAATTCCAAATACTATTTAATTCGACATACATTTTAATTTTTTCGTAATTATTGCATGAAACACGTTGAAACTTAAACCAACCAATAAATTTTAAGGGGCACGATTATAAGTACATCAAACAGTAAATTGTTTAGTACTCCATCGGTTCCTAATTTTTTAATAAATGATGCTCGATTTTATTAAAACAATACATAAAAATGACTAAAATAACCTTCATCTTTTAATGATGTAATAAAAGAGAATTGATATTTTAAAATTAAATTGCCACATTATCCTCTCCCACATGATATATAGTTGCAGCCTTCAATTTTAAGTAGGGAAGAAATTTGCTGAATTGATGTCCAATGATTTATTTATTTAAATAATTAATAAATTAAATATTTTAATA